CAAGCACTCTCAACAAAACTTGAAAAACATTGTAAAATATTCATTCATATAAACTAAACAGCACATGGCATTAATCTCGCAGGCAAACGCGCATCAAATGAACAGACCTAAGCTACTACTTTGGCCAAAAATAATGGACTTTTCGAATCTGTGTAATGAATCAAACATGAAAATTGCACAAACCGTCAGGAAATATCGCAAGATGGGCAACCAAAAGTGTGACTATTTGTGGAGCGGCGGCAACACGAAGTACACGAGGTCCCGGATGAGACAATAACGTACAAACGTTTACAGCAAAATCTACCTGTAACCTACACTGTCAAAAAAAGCACAAAATTGGATCTTTTGGATCTTTTTTTTTTTTATAAAAAATATGTACATATATTTCAAATTCCATCACTGGAAAAATCAACCCGTTGTAATTCGTTCTTTCGCTTCGAAGGCAAATTAGCACTGATACAGCACGCCAGCAACGGCAACAACCAATCTACTTTCAGTGCGTATGGCTCTTACAGAAGACTGCCAAACGTCGATGCTAAGCAAACTCTAAGGCATTTTCACGGGTCTGCTGCAGTTGCTAACTCATTTCGTGTCTTAAGATGCATTTTCTTAGCACTATCTGCCACCTGCGCTACGGATGGAAGCCATCTTACCAAACGTGGCCCCTTGGCAATTTCCTCCTTCAAAAACACTTTTCTATTTCCTTTCAACTTTTCCTATTTTACCACATTTTTTCAAATTTTATTTAAAATTTATTTGCTCAATATCCACTAACTTTAAGTAAATTCAGGAACGGGCTCCTTTCGCCCGCAAACATAGTGATTCGAAATTATTGCTGATAAGAAAAAATAAAGGAGTAAACAGGGGCAAATGCTTTACCTCATTGGGTAGCCCACAAAGAAGACTTTTCACAATGCGATCATATTCCGCCTCTCTTTTTTCTGGCCGCAATCGAAAATACTCTTAAAAAAGGCAAAATTGCACTCCAACTGAGATCGAAATAAGACTTCCCAAATGCTGGGAAAGCCGCTTAACAAACACCAAAAACACTTGCCAGTTTCTCTTACAAGAAGAAGAGCTACTGAGCCAATAATCGTTTCAGATGACGAAAAGCACCATTAGAATGGTTAATAAGCTAACGTCCGAAAGATGGCGCCCCAGTCGAAGCAACTGGGAAGTCGTTGGATGTACGGCTGGTAAATTTTACACTGAACTAGCAGCTGAACCAGCAACAGCAATTAAGACAAAATGCAATGATGCTGAGGGATCATTTCAGCTTTCCTTCTCAACCAAAATCCATAAGTCGCTAAAAAAAAAAATGAGTGTGACATACCCGACTGTTGCTGCCTTTGGCCGGTGCTGATCGGGCAATCAGCTGTAGCTAACGACGAAAATCCCTTGCTTCGGCTTCTCGAGCTTAGCAAGTCAGAGTCAGAATCGTCCACATCGCCGACCAATTCACTCTGCTCGTACTTCGAAAGATAGCTGCAACAGCACAAACCACTCAACTACGAGCAGGCTGATTTACTTCAGCGCCCTAGCTGTTTTATTTTAGGAGTTACGAGATTTTCGGCCAAAAATTCTACGTGAGATGTGGGCTAATAGGCAACGAGGAAGAAAAGAGAGCGAACCGCATGTAGAGCACTTTGACAGCGTGTCCCGCAACAGCAACACCGCTCGAAATGCCAATTGCCCTCGCAACGTCGCCCCATTTTTCAAGCAGAGAAACCTGAAATTTCCTGAATGAGTG